TTACGAGAATAAAGTCATAATTGAAGTCGGAATAGATTAGATTTCTAGCAAAGTTCAGATATTTATCATGATGTGGTGCAGATGTGCCAAAAGTATAATGTTAGTTGTGAAACTTATACTGAAGTAAAACCTAATAAGATGCTCCACATTCACTTTTACAAGAACATTCTGATCTTCAGATATTCCCCTAGCAACGACACATAGCCTTGTTTGTGTAAAATCTGTCTTATTCTTGTTAAATTACGATTCTATTCTTGTAATATTGCGTATTTATTCTTGAAATATCATATTTTATCCCCTTTAAGTGGCCCTGGTACTCTAGATGCAGTGAAAAGATACAGTTTTGAATTGGTCAGGTGGATTTCAGTCTAATTAAATAGAGAATAATGCTGCTTTTTGTTCCATTTTTCTCTCGCTTGTACTTTCACAGTCACCTTTCCTCTCCAACATCGTGCTCCACCACACTGAACGGCCCCGCATTGTCCCCACCCGCCCACTAACACACAAAATACACTCCTCCCCTCAATCACAAAACATGCACAACTAAAGAGATCCCACCCCTCCCACTCCCTCCACCACAAACAAAGAAAAAAATCAATCATCCCATTAAAACAGCGCAACTGCAAAATGAACAACACATTCAAGTACCTATTTGTCATATGGCACCGAGAGCAAGTGTACCACAAGAACATTAACCACCCAGCAAACTCTGTACGGCCTATTCTCTTTCAATACTGCCACTTCAAAAAGCACAATGAATTTGCCATTGAATGATTGAGGAAAAAAAGTGTATATTACAATTGTGTGTATACTCATAGCCTATTTTAAATTCACCTACAGGAAAGAATACACACTCATAGTGTATTCATGTTGTCTCTGCAACACAGTTGTTTCCACAAAATACTGAAAAGAAAAGTTTATTTCTGACAATATTTCTGAGGTTTCAGTGATTTCTTTTCTTTTAGTGCTTGGATCAACAGAAATGAAACAGACAACTGGTCAATCCAAAGAGTCAAACCAGGGTTTTTTCCCAGCAACCATCATGTGCCTTTGAGGCAACGTCCATGATGGAAACAGTGGAAGAAATTAAGGATTTTTTTTGACAGTGCGATCACAGCTACGGGTGTAGGGCCCATTCTGTTCTGTCCTATAGCCTCTCTTGTTTACGTCATACAGTGAAACACCAAAAATCTTCTTCTCACTCCCATTCTGATGCACAAGATCGATTTGAAGCTCCCGCCCTTGGCGTTTCCTTATCCATCTGTAGTAGGACCACAGCCACAGTACTTTGAAAAACTATATTTACACCAAAAAAACATAACAAAACCAAAATAAGATACACAAGTTTTTTTCCAATCAAAACAAAAAAGGCTTTTTTTTCTTCTTTCTTTTTTTTT